ATGAATTTCTTTTTCCCAGTAGTGCCGATGACGCTACCTACACATTGTCTAAAATTATGCAAAATAAATATTTTATAAAGAATTTTAGATTTTTATTTGTTAGAGTAAAAATACTGGAAAGTATACATTTTAACAATTGATAATATTTTTAATCGTTTTTCTAGTGTGATAATTCATTACAAATTAGTATAAAATAATAGTGTTTAAAAAATGTTATTGCTCGATAATATTTAGACATTTCTAAAAGTTACATCATAAAATATGATTATTGTACGGATGTTTTTTTTTCCTGATGAATAGAGAACAGATGGCCCAGATTTTGAAAGACGGCTTTCTAATAGTATTTACTATTATAGAAAATTCAATATTGGCAGACGCTAGTCAATCGTAAAAGCGTTTTGTTTTTATTTTTATTTTATTAAATTTTTAAATTTGTATTGAATATTAATACAGTAAAAAATGTACCATCTAATGATATAAATAATGGTATGATAATTTCCAGTAAATATTATTTACAATATTAAAATATTTAATAGCTATATCCTCTATTCAAACAACGTGGATCTAGATGTGTKACTAAATGTATAACAGAGATAGTTTTATATAATAATTTTTAATTAATAATGACTAAATATAATTTTCAAAAATAATTTACTATAGTGCACTTCTTCTTCAATCTTCTCAATCATTTAGGACATATTATTTGTATTGTGTAGATGAGTAAGTTTAATCACAATTACTCAATGACACCATCTAGAAATGCCAAACTTAATCTATGCATTTTCAGATATTATAATAATGAATATAMATATATTTTATATTTAATAAATATTGGTCTAGTAGTTTTGGAGAAGATAGCAATAAGAAATTACGTCAAATCGGAGATATAAAGTCCAAGTTTTATTCTATCCAACTGAGACAAAATCAAAAACTAAATCATTGTCACAGTCAATAACATAATATGTATTATATGTACTAGGTAGTTATATAATATGTCCAATGAACATTTTACCAAAATTGATTCAATAAAATGAAATAATACATTTGAAGACATGATCTTAAGTTAAAAACTATGAAATTTAACTTCTATAGTGGTTTTCTTATTTTTACCTCCAAATTTTCGTTCGTGAAATCATAATAAACGTTACTTTTAAAAACATAGAAAAATAATAAATTAAAAGATAAATCACATTAATGTGAAGTAAGTACATATTTTATTGTTAAATATTATACTTTAGTCAGTTGRCTATACTATTACTGTGGATAATATTATTTGTTATTTTTTGGGGCTGTGCCAAATATTTTGCCATACATCAAACTGAATTATGGTAGGTGATTGGAGGAGGAATTTTAATCAGTAGATATGTGGTTTATTGCAGCTACGCGTTCATATGAGTTTGATTYCTTTCTGAAATTTTGTATTTTAAAACCATGCAACCCATTATTCCTAACTATAACTTGTTTATTTAGGTTAACTCATGAAAATCGCACAAAGTGTTATTAACATATTTACATATAATGTAGGTACAAAGAAACATTTTTATAGATTATACAAAATATATTAATTTATAATGAATGATGTTARAATAAATTATTAATGTATTACATACAATGTTTGACGAAGTCATTAGATCGTGGGTGTTTTTATTTTTAAAGTTGGTTAAGTTAGTATYATCATGCAAAATATAGTGTATCATATGGATCTGGATAAGAGGTTTATCAGATAGACAGTTTAAWCTCTTGGACAATTTGTCACGTCACGAGGATTTTATCACAAAACTGTCCCAATTAAGAAGGCGATTTAATAAAATCAATCAATAGATTCTCTAACCTAATCTTGCTTACTAATTAGTAATTACATTTATAAACAATTTTAAATGTAACTTTATTTTGCGTGCACAATTTCGACATCATCAATATGCGATTAATTCACATAGGACCTAATAATATAAATATATATATATATATTTTTTTTTTGTACTAACACATTTATAAGAACGCAATAGATTACATAAAACAGATATAATATTATATATATTATACCTGTTATTGAATTTTCACTTATTTCTGTGATAAAAGTATTGAATTTTCATTGAATACAAATATTGTATTTGAATAATGAATTACTTTGAAAAATGCTGAGTTTACTAGTGTTTAAAATACGTATTTAAAATTATTTAAAGTGCTCTTGAAAAGAATATAATAACTTTCTGCACCTGATAAATTATTATGCTTTGCTACCACAGTCTTCTGATTCCCATTTAAATGTACAAATTTCGGCACCACAGAAATGTCTAACCGGATTTAAAAATTTGTTATTAGGTAGTTTATAAAATATTTTTTTCCTCAGATTTTTAATTGAAACTTGAAGAAAATTTGAAGCATTGAATTATTATGTTGAATAAATTTATGACTTATCTCATATTCGCATACAAACTCAAACACAAGAATACTAATTTCCTTAAGTCATCATAAAGGAGGTAGAATAGGTAACCGCTTTTCTATAGGTTACCAAGAACAATAACAATCAAGTATAACTCGAAATTGAGTAAGTCATTGTTATGTATGCGTTGAATTCAACGATAAATTACAAATATGAAAAACAATCCTGAACGAARACAGAATCTATCAGTTTGTATTACTAAGTACCTATATTTCATGATGATATTTTAGTTTTTACWGATATTGCTATTAAAGTAATTTATTTAACTATTAGTATAGTTTGTATATTACAAGAAATGTATTAAAAATGAAATTACATATAAAAAAAACTTATATATTTAACAAWCATACTATTGTTGTTTGCATTAAGAAAAAAAAATAAGCTCACCGTATACGATATCGCAAATATTTCAAATTTATTTTAGAATAGATACKTCTGTGTAGATAAAAAAAAAGGCAAAAGATACCTACTAAAGTTACGTAAAAAAAAAATAGTCTTAAGCAGTWAATAAAAATGCTTTTCATAGCGACGAGTATCTGATGACCGGATATAATAGGTCTCTGGTGGTGCCGTGAGTCTCAGTTGCCACTGACCACAATATCGCAATCTCCGTCATACTGCAACACCACGCACTGCGTCACGGTTGCGATGAAACAGTGAATAAATTTCATAAACTTACTTTTGTGTTTGCCCACTAAAGTTGATATTCATATGTGTAACGTGACGGAAACCCC